ATGTATATAACGGACCAATCAAATGAAAATCAAGTGAAATATATACCTTGAGAATCACGTTTCCAGCCATCGGGTACATACGGATCGCCGACATACCCATCATCACAACGACACGAGTGAGGGAGTACCTGGCTGGTCGTATAGCTGTGGTTGCTCAAACATGCAAGTAATAGGAGCAGATACACTAGCGGTGCATCAAGATGAACGGCGTCCATATGTAGCCACTAGCAGTGCATCAAGACGAGCAGCAACGCAGGGTCACGGACGAGCAGTGTGACTGTTGTATATGATCCGATCCATCGTGGAAGAACTATCTAGCATCTGCATGCACTTCATAAGACGACATGTGTAACATATGTGACCGGCATCAAGGACGGTCCAGGCCAATTATATATCTGTGGGGCGGCTGCCATTATTGTAGAAACTCAGTGCTCTCATAGGCTAGACGGTGTGTGCATGGTCCTGCATCTGCCGTCCTATGAAGGATCCAACAAAGGACAGCGCGTGCAGTGGGCATCCAGTGTCTACATGCATCTAATGGAATCGTCAAATTCTTTTCAAGTCTTTACTTTTGTTTGAAAACACACATGACAGACGACGGAGAACGGGACCTGCAATTGCTAGCTACTCAGTGACCTTATCTTCATCATGAACAAATCGTTGTCATCCATGAGGTCGTCCCTGTAATTGGAAGAGCCGTGGGGTGTCCGGGCCATGCAGTTTCCGGTCAGTAGTCTTCAGCTCCACGTGATGAACCCTCGAATTTTCATGGTCCTATAAGGACAGTCCCAATGAAAAAAACTAGTAGTTTCTATAATATAGGATACCGCACCAAAAAAGTACTGCTTTCCAACCCATGGTTTCTATGAGTAATAATTATTTTCCATTTATCTCTCCTAACTCTATCTTCTTCCTCCAATAAGAGTACGACACGAGCTCCCTAGAAACTGGTGGTTTCTCCCTAATGGCGATTTCATAGTTTTTTGGTGCATTGGGTCAAGAGTATACCTGATTTCTTCATTAGGAAACCATTTCTATGATTTTTGCTCTCTTTCTTCATTAATTACGTTGTCATGTCAGCGTTTTAACTACATGACAAGTCATTTAATGAGGATAGAAACCATCATCAATACACCATTAGGACTGCCCTAATCCTCAGGATCACACATATATATTTATTTCCTGGATGGAAATAGAGAGACATCTTTGGCTTCGCAGTAAATATTCACCTCCTAAGTTTCATTAATCATCGAACTAGTAGCTCCCCGCAAAGAAAAAGGTCAAACGCTATCTGTTGCGCTTTCTCGCGAACTTCTCAAGTGTGCACATTGGAGAATCGATGGACTAGTTGCACACAGAATTTTCAAAATATATATGATATGGTTTTTGTGATTTTATCATATTTTGTCTGTCAAAATCTGCGATCCTAGGCCATCACCATGAAGGCCGTTAGATTTGTGTCATGATTGTGTAGTTGACATCATCTGTTCTATTTGGTTGTTGCTCCTTTATCGATATCAACAGTGAATCGAAGACTTCCCGGCTAGGAAGACAAGAAACAATCAATTACTCGATAAGGTTAGGATGCCTATCATTTTGAACGGTAGCTTTCAGACTTTTGGCTTAAAATCTAGTTTCTGGTTTCTAGCTTTTGGCATTTTGATTGACTTTTGTAATAAATTTTTAGCTTCTTAGCATAACAAAAAAAAAATCCTCTTAGCGCCAAATCAATCAAATCTCTTTCCAAAATTGTCAAATTGAAACGCCAGTTTTCTTATATCTCTTAATCCATTAACAAAATCAAGAACGGATTGGTCACGCCCTAGTCTAACCGATGTCAATCGTGACAACTTCATCTCATTGGTTTCATTACAAAAGTGCTCATGCAATCCCTTTTCTAATTCTGCCTAAGAACCAATGGAACAAGATGGCAAAAAATTAACCAAGGAAAAGTGGTCTCACGTTGGCAAGGCGATGGGGCTCAGTTGCCTCTCCTGGATCTAACAGGAGGCGATGGAGGGTCGGTGGAGAAGATGAGTCAGAAAGGTGTGCGGCGGTGGCTATGAGCGCCGCCCTGCACTCGCACGGCCGAGAGAGACAAGGCAATAGTGGTAGGCGCACGTCCCTGCGGCCAGGAGCACCGACCTGCACTGGCTGCGGCCGAGAGAGGCTGGACGAGAGGCCCGGAGCTCATGGAGGCCAGCAACATCGGTGAGGTGTCCGACGCGCATCTAAGGCCGAAGCGTCGGTGAGGTGAGTTGGCGGCACACGTGGACGAGCTATGACCGGTGACAGAAATAGGCGTGAAGAAGGAAAAGAAAGAACGAATCAAAATCCTGGTTTATAGCCAGCGGTACGGTGGGTAATTTCGTTCAACTACATGAAATAGGAGTTTTTAGAACATTCGTTGAAGAGCTCTATTGATTTCATGGATCTGACAGTTAGATTTATGTTTTGGTAGATGTGTAGTTGGTGAAGATGAAGGTGTTTGGCTACCAAAACTAGGAGTGGAACTAAGTTTTGTAGATCTGGAGCTCGTGGAGCTGTCCCAGACACCCTTTAATTTGCTTGCCAGTGCAGTTTACAATGAACCTTCCCTAATTTGTTTGCCAGTGCAGCTTGTAATGAACCTCTCTGCTGCACTTATTTTGAGATTCTGGGTTGTTGGATCGGAGACTGACTCGTTGTTAGCAAGGTAATAGATAGCATGGCATCCCCAATTCAGATCCAGCACTCTCCTTCAAGAAAGCCATGAAACCCTTTTCACCATGGACAAGAATTACATGTTTGGGTTGGGTGTAAGGAATTCTATGAGGTCCATGATTCTTTTGGAGTCAGTGTGCAGACTGAATGCTAGCTGATGGATCTGGTGGAAAGAACCAAGTGTCAAGTGATTGCATACGAGAGAAGTTAAAAGAGTTGCAGAAGTTATGTACCCAATTTCAGTTAATTCAGAGAACCAGAGAAGAGAAATGTGTATTAAAGAAACAATAACATTCAATGTGAGAAGCAGGAGAAATGCCATTGAACTTCACAGAAACCCAATCCTTTCACTATGTTTTTTCCACCGTTAAGTTGAGCATTTCAACCTTCGCAAAAATGTTGAGCAATTGAAAATGATATTCGGTGAGTTTTTCCATGGCCATAAAAACATAACAATCGAATGAGAAAGTCACAAGTTTAGACAAGTTCAGTTAACCATTTATTTGACACCTCTTTCATTATTGTTTTAAAACTCCACAATTTTTGAACTAGGAAAGTGTAGAATGATGATTAGGAGATCATCCTGACACCCGACATCAATATGGGTGTAGTTGGAGGTGAGCATAATTAACCGAAACCGAAAAATCAAACTACTGAAACCAAAAGAAGTGAAACCGAAAATTGATTGCTCCAGAAAGCAAGGAAAACCAAAAGAACCGAAGAAATTTTAGTTCCTACTCTCAGACCGAATTAACTAAAAGAATCAGAATACAAGAATTGTACTTTACTTACTAGCATTTTGTAAGCGGTAATGCTCTGTTTAGGGTGTTCGGACGCCCCGTTCCCATCGAACGCATCAAACCATCCACACAGACAAAAGCTCTGATCGCCTCGCTCCGCACGTGTCGCTCGCTCCCGCCCGCGTACCTCGCTCCGCTAGCGCCGTTCGCTCCTACCTGCGCTCCTCGCTTCGCAAGCGCCGCTCGCTCCCGCCCGCGCCATGCGCCCTCGCCCGCGCAGATTCACCCTGCGTCGCTATAGTGGATCGATGGCGCCGAGGCGCAGGGCTACGCCACCATCTTCGTCACCAAGCTCTTTGGCCGCGTTGGCCCTATCCTTCCTCACCGTCGTCCCCGAGCCACAGCGCCCAAGTAGGCCTACCACGGCTGACTCCATCGCGGCGAGGCGCCTCCATCCGACTGCCGCGGATGACTCCACCTCGCTGGGTGCCGCCATCTGTTGTTGCGGCCGCCTCCACCGCGTCGGGTGCTGCTATCTGCTATCGCGGCCGCCTCCACCGTGTTAGTTTGTCGCGCCGCCCGCACAATGTTGCGCTGAAAAACGTGTGTTGCAAACGTATGTTCTAGATGTTTCAGAGGTATGTTGCAAGTGTTTCATACAGATGTTGCATATGTTGCAATAGTTTGTACACGTATGTTGGAAGCGTCTGTTCCCAAATTCTTCTGTTTTTAGATGTATGGTGCAAGCGTGTTTATCTAGATGTTGCATATCTTTCACATGTAAGTTACAAGTGTTTTATCTAGATGTTAGATATGTTTACAATGGTTGTCAAGTGTTTTTTCATGTGTTTTTGCAAGTGTTTCAGACAAATGTTTTAAGTATTTCATATGTCTTCTTTTTTATGTTACAAGTATTGTATCTGGATGTTTCAAAAATAGATAAAGGTTGCACATGGTATGCGCGTGGGAATCAAGAGGAAGCGCGAGCGGTCCTCGCGCAGACGCGTGGTGCAGGAGACGTCTGGGCGACGTAGAGAGCCCGCGTGGGCGCATGAAACGCAGGCACAAGCGGGCGACGCCCGAGCGGCGCAGGCCCTCGCGCGGACGTGTGAAATGAGGTGTGGAAACCCTGCCTAGCCACCACTCTTCCTTGCCGTAGTCAGAGTCTTGCCCAGTTGGTTCGGTGACACGTGACACGTCTTAAACGGTGGCCATTCCTACCTCACCTGTGCAGCGGTGCACTCACCTACCCAAGTGAGCTTCCACGCTTCTTCCGAGCGCCAGCGGCGCCAAATTTTCGCCCCGTTTGTTTGGGTTGGATTGGTTTATAAGTCCTGGCTAAAAAATACGATTAGCTAGATTGATATTTAAGAAAATACTGTTTGTCGATAGATAAATCGTGGCTTATAAATCAGATACGAGCTGCCAGTTTCTCGCGGAGAGTAGAAACTGGAGCCCACCCGGGTACATCGCGAACTTCGCCAAGACGGCTGACGGCAAGAACTGAAGCTCCCAATAAGCTTCTACGCCCTCTGTTCCGCACCTCGCAATCACAAGATGAGCAGCGGCTCCGTCGTCCCCGACGACGTGGTGCACACGGGCGGGTGCCACTGCCGCCGCGTGCGCTGGCGCGTGGAGGCCCCCGCGAGCGTCGTCGCGTGGATCTGCAACTGCTCCGATTGCTCCATGCGCGGGAACACGCACTTCGTCGTCCCCGCCGCCAAGTTCAAGCTGCAGCCCGGCGCCGACGAGTTCATCACCACCTACACCTTCGGCACGCACACGGCCAAGCACACCTTCTGCAAGGTCTGCGGCATCACCTCCTTCTACACCCCGCGGTCCAACCCGGACGGCGTGGCCGTCACCGTGGCCTGCGTCGACCCCGGCACGCTGGAGCACGTCGAGTACCGGAAGGCCGACGGGAGGAACTGGGAGGAGTGGTTCAAGCGCAGCGACATCGCTGGCTTCTCCGAGGGGAAGGCGGAGGCAGCGGCGGAGTAGAGTAGTACTGATCACTGGTCCCTTGTCAAGCGATGTTTGTGCCGGGTGTGTAATAAATGAGTGTGACAATGTCGTTCTACGCAAAACAATACGTAAGTTGCTGTTCGATTTGAGGTACCCTCATCCTAGACTAGGAGAGATCAATAGATCATAAGTTGGATTGAAAAGACAGACAGCATTTTGAATACGAATCAAGTACTCCCCGTCTTACAAATTTAACTAAATTTATTATAGAAAAAAACACCAAGATTTAAGACATGGAATCAGTAACATCAGATAATACTACTTTCTCAGTTTCAATTTATATGTCATTTTGGTTTTTTCAGATACATATAACTTTTATTATGTGTCTAGATATATCGTATATTTAGACTCAATAGAAAATGTTACGTATTTAGAAAAGCCAAAACAACTAGGGACATAGAGTATATCATAAGGGTCTATCTCCATAATAGATGCCTGACTGCCTGCTTATCCATCAGGCGATGATGACAGTCGTCCGATGCTCATCCAATGACACATGTCTTTTCTTCTTATTGAACCGGCCTGCTTCTCAACCTTGCAGTAGCGCAACTCTAGCGCGTCTGCGGCGGCCACCTTCTTCCGCTCTCCTTCCGTGGGGATGGCGAGCTTCGGCCATTGAGCTCCCCAGCCCCGACCTGGTCCGGCCGCCTGGCCGGCCTACCTCCCCTTAGCCCCTTCTTGTAAGCACGCCATGATTTGGGGAAGAAGGGGGTAGGTGCGCCACCGGGAAGGAGAGCGCCATGAGTTGGGGCGGGGCGGGGCGTCGGGAGGAGGTTGTCGGAGATGAGAGAGAAGGCACTGGTGGAGGCGTGTGGCATGAGCGCGCTGGCGTCGCCTCTGACGGATAAGCAAAGCAGCAGGTGACTGAGTAGGTGACTAAGCAGGAGTAATTCTGATATCATAAACTATATTTTTGTAGTGTGTTTATTTATATCATAAATATTTATACATCCTTGTATAAATTAGATCAAACACAAAAAATTACTTGAGATAATTTTACGAATTAATTTATTTAGGAAGCGTAGAGTAGGCATGAACATGAACAGAATTGTAGCATTCGACTTTGTACTTCTCGACAAAGACAGCTAGTATATATACCTTTATGCTTTAGCTTTCCAGCATGGCAGCGTTCCCTCGTGTCTTTCTCTCAAGTTCCAAGTTTCATCTAAACCAAACAGCATGGCAACGGACGTCCCATGGCAACACGTAGGTGGGCAGGTGTCACCTTCTGCCAATTGCCCAATTCGATCTGCCAACGCAAGCATTCGTCTGTCCAGCGTCTATCTTTAACTTGAATGTCGGCCTTCTTCATGCTTATCAGCCGTACCATTTCAGCAAAATAATAATGTTTTTCTCTTATAATAAATCAGTATCAGTATCATTCATTTTTTTAGTTAGCCGAACATAGCCTTTATTTTTCCTGCTGCAACTGTAGTATCTGTTTACTATGCTGCTCCTGTCCTATTGACAAATGTGGAAACAGAACGGCATCGTCTTCTGCGGCGAGAAGCAGTGATAGGATTCAGATTAGATCCGCACAGAATCGAACACACATAGTACTATTTATCAAATTTTATTTTGAATCTGAATATAGATACCAATATTATGGAATATGAATGCAAAACAGAAGTCTCGATTTTCGATATGTATTTGGATATCTACTAGATTTTGACGATAGTTGCCCAGTTCGCTTGCCTGATAAGCCATGACTGAAAGTACTGTTGGCTGATTTGTTGTGAGAGAAAAATAATGTTCGTTGACTGAAAAAGTACGGTTATAAGCCAAACGAACAGGACGAGTATATGTCTATTTACTTGTCACTAGTTTATTAGAACAGAATCATTATGCATATCTACCCTACTTCCTTGATGCTTTATACCAAATTCAGCATCTCCTTCGGCCACGTCACCTTCCTGTTTCGTCCGTCCGATCTGTCCGTCCAACCATACAATCCGTCCGATCCTTCTCCCTGTCGTTCTCAACTGCAACCTTCCACATTATTCGTTCTCGCCACAGCCTCGCAGCCACGGCAAACAAAAGAAAATGAAAAAAAGACGCGACCCAGCCTTTCCTCCTCGAGCCTTTTCCCTATGTACCATTAAAAAAGATGGTCTTTTCCTACAGGCCACTAAAAAATTCGGACTTACCTAGGTGTATGACACTTTATTTCTTTGCCCCCCGAGCCATTCCGTCCATTTTCGCTGGTAACGGTGTGTAACGGCGAGGAGAAAAGACCGAAGTGCCCTCAGTCTAGGGAGGATGAGTGAAATTGCCGTTTGCCATGTGTGCCACTCCCTGACCAAGCGTTTGAGCGCCAAGACGGCTGACATGGGCAAGTTTTTTTGCGCCAAAGGCACTGGGCTTGGCGCCAAAGAGACCCCGCTTGGTGCTATAAATAGGCCATCAGCCCTCCCTTCCCACTCATTCTTCTCCTTTTTGTCTCTCCTGCTACCTTGCTGCCAGTGCCATGTCTCAAGCGTCAAGCAGCTATGGGAGGAGGCCCAGGCGGGTCATGTGCCCCAACTGTAGTGTGCTAGCTAATCGATTCATATCGATGACTACGAACAACCACAATCGTGCTTTCCACAAGTGCCCGTACTTTGCAGTTCGTTTTTCTTCCTTGCTCATTCATTCATAGGTTGTTCTTTATTCCTTATTTGGTGCTAATCTGTTGATGCTGTTGTTTATAGGCCGGAGGGTGCCAGTTTTATCAATGGAAGGACGAAATGGAGGACACTGTTGTGCACCCACCTAAAGCACCTACTCCATTACAGGCCATTCCTCTGCAGGCATTGGCAGCACCAGCTCCTATCTCTACAGCAGCTCCTCTGGCCATCGTCTAGGAAGATTCCCAGTCGGCTAGAATTATAGGCAATGTAGTAGTGGAAGATAGGGTTCTTCAGCAGCTTAGGTGGATTGAAAAGTTGGTGTTTGTGTGCATCTTTCTTGCTTTGTATGCTATCATGAAAAAGTAAGGTCCTATGTATGCAGACTGTGTATGTGTGTGTTTGAATGAAGACTAGTGATGCATGAATGAATGGTTTTCATCAGAGTTATGATCTAATTTATGATAACATAGTAATTCTGACATCTCAAAAAAAATAACATCTCACAAAGTTTCATCTAACCAATAGAGTTCCATCTCATAGTCATTCATCTCACATCACAGTTTCATCTTACATCACAGTCATGTCAAAATAAAGTGATAGCAAAGCAGCAGTAGTTTTTGCAGCCAAATCACCAAAATAACAACTAAACACAGGTGGTTTTCATTTAAACCCTACCTTCTTCTTGCTTCTGGTATTAGAAGCTGGGCTGGCGGGCACAATTGAAAGCTTTTTTGGTATAAGCTTTTTCTTCAACCCTATCTTCTTCTTGGTGAAGGCTGGGGCAAAACAACCTTCATTGGTTCTGTCTGCACAGTCTCTTCACGAAATGGGGCAAGATACACAGACTGGAGGGGAACAGTGTCATTGGAACTAGTTCTAGACCTGTTATAGTCAAGTACCAGGAAAGGTCAAGCACACAGTTTCATCAAAAAGTGCAAATGCAGAATTAGATCATGCTTACCTACTAGTCTGGGAATTTGTATGACATGTTGATGTACTGGTAGCTGGGCCCTTACTTTTCTTGGTAGCTGATGTACTGGTAGCTGGACCTTTTGATGAAGAAGATGATTTCCTCTTCCTCTTCTGGTGTGTAGCATTGGCCACTGCCTCATTGTGTGGGAAAATCATGCCTGATGCAAGAGTTTTCACAACAAGGCTAGTCTCTGTATTGTAACTTGCTACTTTCTTCTGCCTTTTCTTTGGGAGACCCCTGCAAAGGATAAGTTTACAGTTAGTACATGTATTTAATTTATAGGACAAATGAAAATAAAGTACATGTTTACCTTTCAGCCTCCATTGTAGTAATGTCTTCTGGGTTTCCATTCTTGCAGGTGTACCAGTGGTGGCCTAACTCATGGCATATAGGACACTCATGCTTCTTTGACTTCTTCTTACTGCCTCCCTCAACAGCTGACTTCATCCTGTTCTTCCTCCTACCACCAGTGGACTTGAGACATGGAGGGTGCATGAAGAAGCCATGTGTTGCTTTGGGCCACATGGACTTGTCAGGAATGCATGGGATAGAGCCTGCATAGGCATCCTTGAACTTTTGGACAGAGAAGAAATCATCTACATGATCTTCTAGTCTTGCACCTGGAATTGAGGTGATGTAGGCAATAGCATGCTTGCAGGGTATTCCTTACCCCTGCCAGACTCTACAGGAATAGGTCCTATTTCTTAAGTCCACCACAAACCTAAACCCAGACCCCCCCCTTAGCGCAAATTTCTGCAACACCTTCAGGAGAGCTTGTGATCACTTCAATAGCAAGATTGTAACTGTCATCCTTTAGCTTCTGCACAATATGGGGCAAAATCTTTCCTTCAAACTTTCTGGCCACCCTCTTCCTATGGTTCCATTTGATCAATATCTTCTGTCTAATGGTGTCCATCAAGTCATCTAGATGCTTCTGCTTCTCACCCTTTATCCAGTTATTGAAAGACTCAGCCAAGTTGTTAGTCACATAATCAACTTTTGAGGAAGTGCCAAACTGGCTCCTAGTCCATAGCTTCTTGTGAGTGTCTTGAAGGTACTTCATAGCTTCTGCTTTGGCAGCAGCCATTGCCTGATAATGTTTATCAAACATATATAGACTCCAAGAATATGTAGAAGCCCACAAGTGCTCATCAAAAGCTTTACCACTATACCTCTTCTTGAAATTTTGTACTAGATGGTACATACACTCCCTATGTTTAGTTTCTGGAAACACTTCACTAACTCCATTCATCCTTTCGCTGGCCACAAATCATGGAGAAAGTAAGCCTGTGTGGATCGCCTATTGCTTCCTTCAACCTCCCCATGAACTATACCCAATTTTCATTGGTTTCAGAATCTATGACACCTACTGCTACTAGGTACATCCAGTTGTG